CATGCATGCTCCCTAGCTATTTTTTTTTTTTTTTTTTTTTTTTTTGTGTGTGTGTGTGTGTGTGTGTGTGTGTGTGTGTGTGTGTGCTATAGTTGTCTTGAATTACATTTATTAGAATATCCTTCTAGCAGCTAGTCTTATTGTTGCTGGGTTTCAGTCGGCTGAAGAAGCTAGCCTTCCTTCATTTCATAGCTTTAGCATATTTGTGTGGGTTGTTTTGCTTTGCTTTGATGCTTTGATTATCAGTGTCCATCCTTTGCCAAAACTAATGTCTCAATTACAGCATTAGATTGTGAGGACCTTGATAAAGCCACATTGACTGTGTGACTTAAACAGCAGATATTGCCTTCGATCTGGTCTAGATTGGGTTCAGAGCATGCAAAATACTTTTCCAGGGTAGCCACATAGCAGTTTTCACTATAGGCTGGCCTGGCACAGCATAGTAATGATAGCCTGAGAGTTTGGCTCAGCAAGTAGAACATACAAAGCAACCAATATGGAAGGTACTGTCTAGGGCCACAACCCTAGCTCTAGCACCAGCCATATCTTCTCTGCAGCCATCACACGAACCAGAGTGGGGGTGGTGTGTCAACACAGCCCTGATGGAATCCCCTTCAGAGTGGACACAATCATCCAGATTCACTGCTCTGAGGACTTGTATTGGAAGTCTGCCCCACAATGCTCAGCGTATGGTGGACCATGATGCTGGAACCAGCAGGGGATGGTGAGAATTTTTGCTCTGGGTAGTTTTCACATTGGCTGTTCCAAGCATGAGGAATGTGGGCTACTGCTGTTCTCAGAGGGCAAGTATCAAGGCTGCTATCCCCTGCGTGGGTACATCTCATGCAGGGTCTGCAGTGCTTGGCACATCCAAGGGCTCTAAGCCACCAACACTACCAGCTGTTGACTCTACCTACCAGCACCTGCTGGGATCTGTACAGTTTGCACCAAATAAATGCCTCTTCCCCTCTTCATGAAACAATATCTCTATAGTTTTGGGTTTTTTTTACTTATTTTTTTCAAGTTGGATTCATTTCTTGTTCAAGAAAACATAAAACGGGTGATGCCCATGCAGCAGTAGGTCCCAGAGGACAGAGGCCCATGCTTGGGAGGATTCTGAAGCTTTCATAGAGGCCACAGTGGTCAAGAAAGGGATCAAAGCTGTGAGTCTGGAAGCAGAGCCAACTTATGTCCCTTGGTCAAGGACATGAAGATCAAGCCCCTGAAGATCTCCCTGGCCTCTCTGCTTATCTAAGAACATGAGATTATTGACTTTTTCCATGGGGAGTACCAAGATGAGGTTTTGAAGATCAGGCCAGGGCTGCAGTGGACATGGGCTGGCTAGCATTGTAACCGTCATGGTCTTCTACCAGTGTTATGTTGGCCTGAGTGTTAAGAGCCCTGAGGAGGTAGCTGCTGGCATCTATGGGGCCAAGATTTCCACTGTCCCAGTGCAGAGATGCTACAGCTCTTGGTGGAGTAAGAATGGCAAACTCCACCCTGTGCCATGTGAGGTGACAGGCTGCTGCAGCGCCTCATCCCTGCCCTGAGCTCAGGCACCATGCCTGTCCTTGTATTCATGCCGATGCTGCACTGACAATGGGTAACTTCCTACCTTTGATGCCTTCTCTAAGGCCCTTGACTTCTGGAAAGAGGCTGTACTCACCATTTTGTGAAAACCCACAGCAGTCTCCTTGCAAAGGACTCCAGCACCAATTATTGCTACCACATAAAATTTCTATACTATATATATATATATATATATATATATATATGTTGAAAAAAATGTTGGATTCAAGTTACAATTAAAAAAATATTTTCCAGGCCAGTACTAATAAGAATAAGCAGAAATTGTAGCCAGTGGATTTCAAATGAGAAGACAAGGGTTTAGGATCTATCATCTCCGGGCGTTGTTGGCATATACCTTTAATCCCAGCATTCCGGAGGCAGAGTCAGGCATATCTCTGTAAGTTCAAGGTCAGCCTGGTCTACAGAGTGAGTTCCAGGACAGGCTCCAAAGCAATACAGAGAAAACCTGTCTTGAAAAACAAAAAACAAACAAAATCTGTCATCTCTACAAAGCAACTTCACTGTTAAACTTGGGGTCACTATCTCCCTTATAAGATCACAGACTTATTAAAATGTGAGGAGACTTGCATCTCCTTGTTTCAGACTTTTTTTTTTTAATGTCTGTGCCTATTTTGCCTGCATGTATGTATGTATACTATGTGTATGCCTGGTGTCCACAGAAACAGAAAAGGGTATTAGGTCCCCTGGAGCTGGAGTTAACGACAGTTGTGAGCTGCCACGTGGGTGCTGGGCTCTGAAGCCAGAACCTCTGCAAGAGCAGCCAGTGCTCTTACCACTGGAACCATCTCTCCCATACTCTTTTTCTATTCTTTTTGTCAAACCTCGTTTTTTTTTTTTTTGTCAAGATGGCTTGAGATACTCTAGATAAATTTATCATATGAATTTTAGAATAAGGCTTTTAGAAAAACATGTCTGAGCTCATCATAGGAATTGCATACCAAATCTATACATTAATTTTTGGCAAGTTTTGCATCTTTTGAGATGTCTAATGCTCAACACAGTATATCCATTTATGTAGGCCTTCTTTGGTTTCTTTCTACACACACACACACACACACACACACACACACACACAAACTCCTTTTTATAGACTGTTGGGTTTGCATAAACTAGGACTTGTCACTCTATGTATGCCCCAGGTTATTTCTTTAGAATTTTGGCTTTAGTTCAAATACTACAAAAGACCATTTTAGACAGGCGGTGGTGGCACACACCTTTAAGTCCAGCACTTGGGAGGCAGATGCAGGTGGATCTCTGTGAGTTCGAGAGCAGCCTGGTCTACAGAGCGAGTTCCAGGACAGCCTCCAAAGCCACAGAGAAACCCTGTCTCGAAAAACAAACAACAACAACAACAAAAAAGACCACTTTAGAGCTCTTTGAGTGTGTCATGGCTCTCCACAGTAGATGTTTTCCCTAGATACCGTGAGTAGATGATCCAAACTGCATGATTAGAGAGGTCATGTGGCAGACTTTGTCACTGAGGAATTTTGGATCCCAGTGTATGTGTCTAGACCTCTAGGGTTTCCAGCTTGAATTTTAGAAATACTGTATTGTGGCAAGATTACTACTTTATTATTTTACCAGTTTTGAATTCTAGAGGCTTTTATTTCTAGTTCAAGTTTTAAAAACAAACACAAAAAGCATAAGAGATTAAAAAATTTTATTAATCATCCCAAAGTAGATTATATATTACAAATTCAGATCAGAGTAATAATATTAAAAGTATTTTCAGTAGTACCATAAACTATACCTGAAGGAAAAAACCAAGTAGTAAGCTTGTATGCATACATGGAAATCTCATGTTTAAAACATTACTTTGTCTAAAAAATTCACATACATGTTTCATAGTCATACACATGTTGACAGAGCTACATGTGATTTGCATTTAACAAACTCACGAACTAGTTTTTCATGCTTTGAATAAACTGTCAGAAGGCTGTAAGAGCTTACAGTTTTTAAAGTGCATGACAGAATGCTTTATATGACGAAGCTTCCCTATAGGCTCCCTTCTGTGAAAGCTACTCAGAAGTAGAAATCTGGATGACTACATGGGCCCTCAGAGAAATTCTATTAGGTTGGGTCCAGGAATCATAGGGGCAAATTCTAGCCTAGGTGTCCTGAGGGTACAGAACAAATTTCCCAGAAAGTTTGTATTTGCTTACGGGTCCTATATACAAGGTCTCAACACTGAAGTGGTCTGTTTGCCTATAGTTAACTATAATTAGTGTTTGCTCTAATGCAAAGTGACTTAAAGCAGCATTACATACCCTGCCTAGCTTAGACAAAAATGTAAATCTGTGGGCAGATGATTGACATGAAGATATTTTCTGTCTCTTTCTTCCTTGACCCTCCCTCAATACATGGTCTTTTGGGGGGGGGGAGGGGGGTTCGAGACAGGGTTTCTCTGTGGCTTTGGAGGCTGTCCTGGAACTCTCTCTGTAGACCAGGCTGGCCTTGAACTCACAGAGATCCACCTGCTTCTGCTTCTCGAGCACTGGGATTAAAGGTGTGCGCCAGCTTCAATACAGGGTCTTAACATGGTAGTCCAGGATGGGCTGAAACTCACTATGTAGCCCAGGCTGATCTTGAGCATGGTAGATTCCACTAGCCCACATCCAGGGTAGGCAGTAAATAAGTAAACATTCTGCAGATCATTACATATAGTGATGTTTGCCACCCAAAACTAGAATACTGAAAAGCAAGTCCATAGCAGATCAGGCACTGAATCTGAGAGAAAACTGGCTGGGCTTAAGGTGAAACAGTAGTACATGGATAGTATTAGAAGACAACAGCTTGGTCAAATGAATGAAAACACAGCTCAATTTACAGGTGGAGGTAATATGGCAATGGTTTTCACTTCATAAACTACATAACCTGACCTATAAAGTGTACATACAATAAGATGGTTTCATTACATTTACTTATTGTGTATGTGTGCATGTGTGCTAAGGAGGCGATGAAGCACATCACAGTCTGTGTGTGAGGGTCACAGACAATTTGTGGAAATCAGTTCTCTCCTTGTACTATATGGGTAGGTCCTGGGGATCAAACTCAAGTTGTCAGCTTTGGTGACAAGTGCTTTTACCCGATAAAAGACTGCATCAGTGCTCCGCCCCCAATTCTATTTCTAAGCAACTTCTGTCATGCAACCTTCTGAGTAAGGCAGTGTATCCTCCTCACCTACAATCGATGTGTCCTATTTAAATGATTATCCAGGAAACAGGAACTAGGAAATGACACACTTACTTTACCCTAGGCCTGAACCGAAGCACCTATGTTTCATAATCAAATAAAACATTTCAAGAGTCAGGAGCCACAGGCTGATGTCTTCAGACATAAACTATTCTGTCTTTTGTAGATAAGGCATTTTTTTTCAGATAAAGGTAAGAAGGTAGCCTAAGACTTTTGGACAAGAAAGAAACATTCCTCCTTAGCATCTTTGTCACCTCAGGCATTTAGTGTCACCGAAGTGAAATGTCATGGAGGCTGCACTAAGAACAGAGCTCAGGACTGCAGACAGCAGCAGACTGAAGTAAAAAATGCTTGGATCTCAGCCTCAGCTGTTTTGCTCAGCTCAGTCCTTCCAGGGATTACTCACTGGCAGAGAAAAAGAGGACTAGAATGAATGCTTCACTAAGTACACAGCAGCCACATTTCAGGGTCTGTAGTTAGGGAATCTGGGAAGCCCCCCTCTCTAACTGCTCAGCTATTCTTAGGGATGTCCAGTGTGATTACTATTTTATCTCAGTGGCCAGATGTCAGTAACTGCAGCCAAGAGCAGGGCATGTGCTCTGTGCTTGGAGAAGCAGCTGGCTGTTGCAAACCGAGAAAGAACTGGCTTCTCAGGGTCTCTCTGGAGATATCCTTGGTTACATAACTACCAATAAGTTACTAGAAGAGGTATCTTCAAGCAAGTCAGGCAATGGGACCAGAAAGTAGTCATATAGGAGGAGGACAGTCAGCATGTTCAAGGAGGAAAGAAAAGTGATCTGAGAAGGTACAGGTGGTGGGCACACCTAACCCAAGGTCTCAGGACACTCAGCAGAGTTCAAAGGTTAAGAAGCACAGGCTTCACTGTGACTGAATAATGGGATCATTTTCAGAAGCCGGTCTCACCTTCAGATTCTGGGGAAAGGCTTTCATTTTCAGCAGGGTAGGATAGAACCTCAACCCTAAAGCCAAACCAGAGGGAAGACAAGAAGTGTGCTCTGTGTAGAGAAGAATACAGACCTCTGACCATGGCCAAGATAGCCTGTATTCTGGACACTTCCAGACCTTGAATTCTAAAGATGGATACTTGTACAAAGTAATTTGAACAGGAGTAGGTAAGAGGTCCTGGCAGAAGATGGGCGCTCTCAAGAGATGTGATATGAGTGCACTTCCTTCTGGATACCGAGTACATGCAAATGGCCCTCTCCAGACAGGGTGGGTTTTCCTCAACATTATTATCATGTTATATTTCTGGTGTATAAAAATAAAATTAGGGTTGGGTATCTAAAACTTGGATACATATTCTGTGGACTTATTTTCTAGGAAAGAACTGTTTATGACCTGTAATTTGGGGACAAGTTTGATAATAATTATAATGGTTCTGAAAATCTGATTCTGACGGTATGATGAGACTCAGTATTCCTATACAGAGGATGCATCTTCACAAATGGCTGCTTATCATCCATCAAAGAGTTGTTAAAATTTGGAAGGGGGTGGCTTCAAGTGATTTCCCCCGAGGTTTCTTTGTTTGTTTGTTTGTTTAAATTTCTGCCAGCCCATTCTTTTAGAGATTCTGGTTTCCATTTGAGTAACTATAGTTTCAAAGGGAAATCCTCCAGGCTGCCATGGGAAGCATCCCTAAGCAGCAGAGAATAGAGGGCATCCTCGCCCAGGCAGCATTTACTGTGGCAGACTCCCCTGCATACCTCATTTAGAGCACATTGCTTAGGTACAGGTAAAGAGATGGGTGCAGCTAACCCAGCCTACTCACCAGTGTATTCTGAGAAGAAAAGGGAGGTAAAGGGGTCCAGCAGGTGTAGTACTTGGGAGGAGGGGGCCCAGCAGGTATACTGCTTGGGAGGAGGGACGTCTCAGTCCTTGTACTATTATACTCAGCAGAAGGAAAATCTAGAGATGGACACAGATTTTAAAAACAGTGTGATCTGTAATGAGGAAGAGTTATCAGGTTCACATTAAGCCTCCATCTTGGAAACCTGAGGTAATACTGGATAGAAAAACAGTCAGTCATACCTTTATGCTAAATAAACTAGTGTGTAGGTTATAAATTAAAGAAACAGAGTTATGGGAGATAAATAAATAAAGGGTATATTTAGAAAACTCAGAGGTGTATCTTTAGTATTTAGTGCCAATATTATAATTAAGGATAGGAGAGTTATAAGTTCAGAAAATAGGAAAATACCCATGAATACCTCCTATTTCTTAAATCTAAGAGTGATAGAGAATGAAATAAGGACAGTGAGCTTTGCAAAATCACAACTTTCGGACAGTGTGACTGAGAGACTTATCAACAAGTGCTACTGTGGGTCAGTGAAGAAATTCCTATGATGTCAGAAACTTAAGCATCACATAGGCATCAACTTCTCACTTCAGATATGAAAACAATATGCGTCCTGACAAGACTTGAAATTGGCTCTCATCTTCCTTTACAAATCACCCTGTGCTTTAGCCAACTGTGGATCACATGGCTTGCAAACTGAGTCTGCCACTATCTTTCTCTATGCCACACAAAATCTAACCACTCACTGAAGTGTTTCTCAACCTTAAAAGTGGCACTAACACAGCAGCTTCAATCCTGAGGGCAGGCAGGAATGAATCATTCCTAACTAATGCACCCTTCCTTAGTATTGTCTGATGAGCTCACTTTCCAGTATAACACTTTAAGATTCATTATGCAATACATCATAGTGTACATCAGCTCTTCAGAGGGTGGGGAGAATCCCTTCAAAGAAAACGGGAGTGCTTACCAACATGACAAGAGAGAGGCAGGCATTTGCTCATTCATCTCCACCCGTCCACCAGAACCACCTACCATTTTACCTGGTGAATAAACTCCTCAGTAAATGCTGAATGACAGAGCTAATTAGATAGCCCATGAGTTAGAACATTTTTGTCTTCAAACTTGTCGTTTATCTTCTTTGGCTCTCTTGTGAGGCAAAAAGACAGCAGCGCTTTAAACAGTTACCCGTCTTCTTTTTGGGAAATGTCCCTCCTTAACATTGCATCTTAGTACAACTGGATAACCTCATCCCATTCAGAAATAGGCCAGATTCCATTGGGCTGCACATTTGGAGGTGAGCTCTTCCAGTCCCACGTCTGGACAGGAATCTTCCAGGTCTTACCATAGTTGGCTTCAATGTAGTCAACTGTTTCACAGGGCACATGGACTTTCATGTCTACAAACTCAGTCCAACACAGTGTGAACTTGGGAAACAGGTACCTGCCGCAAAACAAGGGCAAACAGGGAGCATTAGGCCAAGTAATCCAACTCTTGGCAGAGGGTCAGTCCTTTCTTATTAAGCAGATTTGGGGAGAGAGTTGGCATTTATTTTTCAGCTGCTCAGCACTCCTTTCTTCTTTCGGTGAGTACACCCTGGTCTTCCTCTTCTATTCTGGATCCATCTAAAGGGAAGCTAGTCCCATCCATAAGCCCCAGAGATGAAAAAAAAAAATAGAAAGCAAACCAATCATAACCTAAGCCAGGTCTGGTTAATAAGTTACAGTGATCAGTTTAAATATGGGAACACACCAATATTAGGCAAATCAAAGTAAGCCCTGGGACTTTGTTGAGAAACCTTGGGAAAGAGGTGTCACAACAATGTTTCCACAAGATGGAGGAAACAGTTATTTTCTTTTCTTGTACAATCTGGTGTTCCAAGGGATACAGACTGATGCCAACAGTATCCCCTAGGTTTTTCCTCTGCTCTATACACAATAATAACTGTACTTTCTACCTATCTATCCTCTTAAATTCTAAAGAACATCTCTAAACCTCTTGAGAGGGGAAAGAATGAGGATTAGGAGTTCAAGTCCAGCTTCAGTCATATGTGAGCCCTAGGGCAGTCTGGTCTACATAAGACCCTGTCTCAAGGGTGCCTGAACTGGCCTTCCCCTGTAATCAGATTGATGGCTACCTGAATTATCATCATGGAACCTTCATCCAGCAACTGATGGAAGCAGATGCAGAGATCCATAGTTAAGCACTGGGCCCAGCTCCCAGAGTCCAGTCGAAGAGAGAGAGGAGTGATAATATGAACAAAGGGGTCAATACCATTTGGGGCATACCCACAGAAAACAGCTGACCTGAGCTAGTGGAAGCTCACTGACTCCAGACTGACAGTGGGGGAACCTGCATAGAACCAAACTAGGCCCTCTGAATGTGGGTGACAGTTGTTTGGCTTGGGCAGTCTGTGGGGCCACTGGCAGTGGGACCAGGATTTATCCCTAGTGTTTGAACTAGGTTTTTGGGAGCCCATTCTATTTGGAGGGTTACCTTTTTCAGCCTAGACACGGGGGAGGGGGAGTTAGTCCTGCCTCAAAGTGATGTGCCAGACTTTGTTGACTCCCCATGGGAAGCCTTACCCTCTCTGAGGAATGGATGGGGGAAAGGTGGGGAGAGCAAGAAGAGGGGAGAGGGTGGGAACTAGGATTGGTATGTAAAATGAGAAAAGTTTGTTTTAAAATAAAATGTAAAAAATCTAAAAAAAATGGAACAGTCATAGGAACCAGCAATCTGAATACATATCTGACAGCACCTAAAGCAGAATATACAGGACATGAGTGTACATTCATGTTCAATACAGCATTATTTTCAATAACAGAGAGGAAGAAACAGCCAAACTACCCATAAATACATGAATGGATTGTTAAAATATGTCAGTGTTTACATGAGAATGTTACAGTCCAAGGCAAAGGAGGAAAACCTATCACATTCTACAACACGGAAGAATCTTGAGGTTGCAATTCTAAGCACAGTAAGTCAGTCACGAAAGGTCAAATTCCATGTAATTCCACTTATATGAGATAAAATATGTTTTCAAAAATCTAGAAATAGAAAATAGAATGGGGGCTAACTGGAGCTAAGGATGTTGAGAAGGAATTCATGTCACCAGCTTCAGGTTTGCAAGACTGTAGAATTCTGAGTACTATGAACCGAATACACTTCCCCTATGGACTTTACACGTCAAAATTTTTAAATGGGAAATTTGATGTTATATAATATTACCACAGTAGGAGAAGATATTCTATTTGATGTTACGATATGTTATTAACAATATCATCTGTATAAAAATCCATGCCCTTCTTTGTATTCACATATACTTTCTTTTCTCAAAATCTTTTGTGAAAGACACAAAATGTATCCTTTATTGCATTTGACACCTCAAGGAATATGTCATAATTGACAATCATATTTCTTAATGTCAAAATGACCATATGTCCATTACTTTCTGTAGAACATTCAATATTTCCACTACCATACCTGCAATTTCAACATTTTTTTCCCTTTAATACAGTGATGAGACCATCACCCTCCCCCTTTTTTTTTGGTTTTTCGAGACAGGGTTTCTCTGGGTAGCTTTGGAGCCTATCCTGGCACTCGCTCTGGAGACCAGGCTGGCCTCGAGCTCACAGAGATCTGCCTGCCTCTGCCTCCCAAGTGCTGGGATTAAAGGTGTGCGCCACCAACGCAGGGCCTGACCATTATCTCTTGTACTCAGGCATTTTTCTAAAAACTGAATTGCAAAGCTATGTTAGTTTTCCATTTCTGAGATTCATGTACTACTTAATTTTCTTATCAAAACAAAGAAAAGTATTGAGAAAATTCTTCAAAAAAGGCAATCTCAAGAATATTTACATAGATCCTTTGAGTTAAGTAAATTATACATGATATATTACAAAAGAAAGTTAAAAGCAACAGGCCTATTTTCAGTTACATAGCTCTATATTCTGTGTTGGATTCTCAATAAGGATTTTTTTCCTTTTTAACTAATGAAGAGCTTTCAGTAATTAGTCTCAAAATGGCAATAATAGGAATCAAAGTTTAATATACCAGAGAGTTAAGGTGAGAGTAGAAAACTGGAAAAAGGAATCTGATTATATTTGATTATCATGTTTTATCACCAAGTGAATCCCAAGAATGCATTCTGCTTTTAAATACCTTGTTTCACAAGTAAGCAAATATAAAGCCATACATGAAAGTGAGTGAATAAATTCTAAAAAAAATAACAAGTCCACTACAAAAGCCAGTCGGTACTGCAGTTAGCAGACAGTCCCAGCTGACATCTATGAAAAGACAGTCACAGAAAATCTCATAGCTGAGACAGAAACAAGATACTGCTTAGACCCACCATCTGCTGGTCCCATTTTTACCCTGCACACTCATGTTCACGGAATGACTTATTTTGTCATGAGACACATCCATCCATCATCAGCCTCCACCGCCCACAATCACTTGCTGGTCAGCAGAATGTCCACCTGCCCCTTCCTATCAGGTTGACACAATGAACCCAAATTGAGACAGACATGATCTACCTAGTAACAACAAGCAGAAAGCTTCTCCCTTAAATATTAGCCTTTAGTCTCATCAAAGAGCTGAGAGAGAAAAACAACAGCTTTAGGATACACGTGGTAGAATACTACAGACTACAAAAGCAATGCCTGGAACAGTGAAGAAGAATCTAAGAGCAAACCCCAAACACTTAAAACATAGAAACAATGTGAAAATGATACAAAAACAATTCAACTCTAATGTTAACTTTTGTTCCTAACCAAATCCCTAGACTCTCCTCGATTTTCATGTCTCTACTCATTTTCAATCTATTCAACAAAAGAGTATCTTGGCTTCCCAGGATAATAGGAAAGATAAACAATCCATAAAATGTGGTTAAGGAATTGTAAAGTGAGACCATGGAGAGGAAGGGGCCAGTGAGTCCCACAGAACAGCCCATGCGTGGGCTTTGCCTGGGTTACCAGTAAACAATGACTGATACTAAATCTCAGTGTTACCTAGGATTTAAAAGCCATGATTGAATCTGGCAGAGCAGTCTGTACTTTTAAAGCCTGAGGAAGAGATTCAGAACTTGAACAGATTTAAATTTAGACTAGGGCACCCTAAATTAGGATACAAATGTAAGAGATCTTACTATCGCAAAAAATCCTCCCATCTGTCTTCTAACTTATACCACTTCACTTCATTCTACTTTTGCCTAAAACAGCAGTTACAACAGTTGCTAGATTGAACAGTGAGCTAGAGTAGGATATTTTTATTTTCTTCCAAAAATTTTAAAACCTTTAATAAAACCACTTTGGAGTGGTTAGAATAATTTTGTCAGCTTAATTGCACAATCTTTGAACACAATTGCTAAATGAGAAGGAAGTGTTCCCAGCACTGTAGAACATTGTGTTTCCTGGCACTAATTAAGGAGGCTAAGCAAGACTGAAACCATCAGCTACAACTGACCTGACCATTCAAAATGTAAGTCTGCACTAAACATTGCAGTTACAAGAGCACAGCCAAATTCCCACCACTGAAATTTCTCTCAAAACACAGTTTATTACTGCTAGCATCTTATAGTGGCTTAAACCTCCCAGTTTATCTGCTATTCCAGGGCCTAAAAACCAGGATGCTGCTTAACAGGAGCAGTCTGAGATCGTAGTGGAAAAGCTTCTGATGTTTCACCATTAAGCATGATGCTCACCCTAGATTTTCATTATCTTCCCTTCATCAAACCAAGGAAATCCTGTATCCCCTTTAATTCAAATTTTCTTAAAAGGTCTTTGGTTGACTATGGGCATTTCAGTTTTCTATGTCATCAATTCAATTACCACCTCCCCCTGCCCCCACCCTTGTGGTAGTGGTGGAGATGGAATATGAGGTCTTGGGCACAGGGAAGAGTTCAATCCTGCACATGCACTATGAAACTATATGAAACTACTCTTTTAGCGTGTTTTCACTGTGCCATTTCCCTTTTTAAAAATACTCTGGGTCGAGCTGGGCGTTGGTGGTGCACGCCTTTAATCCCAGCACTTGAGAGACAGAGGCAGGAGGATCTCCGTGAGTTCGAGCCTGGTCTACAAGAGCTAGTTCCAGGACAGTCTCCAAAGCCACAGAAAAACCCTGTCGCGAAAAAACAAAAAAAAAAAAAAAAAAAAAAAAAAACCTCTGGGGTGGCTGGTGTCCAGGCTTGCTAAGTCTCCATGCATTTAGGGACTGAGCTGCTCTCTTCCTGGGTTTAGAAACTGTGAAGGCATGATAGCAACTCTTTGTAAACTTCTGGAAGGGAAAAGAAAGGGAAAGGCTTTCTAGTTACTAGTTCAGTTTCTTGACTGGGTATAGGCCATCTGTATCTTTTTGAGTTGATTCTTGACTGTATTTTTCTACATTTTTGCCACTTTCACATCCTACCAGTTACTACACTGGTTGATTTAAGGTCACCCATG